GGTCACTCCCTCTTCCCGTCTCTAGCAAGTCCCTCGCTCCGTCGCCGCCCTTTCCATGTCCCCGTCGCCGTCCTCTCCCTCTCCCTGTCGCATCACTCTTGCCGCTGGTCGGAAAATATCTCCAGCGACTTATATTTCAGGTCGGAGGGAGTATGTTTTTAGTTATGTACGAACAACTTTAGTTAGTTAATTCTCTGTCGACTGAGCGCTAGTCGCTCCCGTAATATGCCATCGCTCTTAATTTTAAGACACATAAATGTTGTCTTACTGTTATTTTAGATCCCTTTGGAAAGATGGAAAAAAGAAATCCGGGTCAATGACTTGTGCACTCCGTCTTCTCACCACCCGACCGGCCGGTGGCACGTGCCATGCCACTTCTACGTTTTGAGAGTTGCATCGGTTGGTCCTAGTGTTTTGAACTGGCTCACCACATATGCCATATCATTGTGCTGCCAAAAAACACATGTAGGTTGTTCACCACACATGTGTAATGTGGCATCGGTAGGCCCTAGCTAGTGAGGCATGCTTTTTTAGAATTTTTTCGTTTTTTTAATACGGCCTGTTTGGAATTTTTTAGAATCCTCAAATTCCAAAAGGAAAAAAAGATATGGTCAAATTTCAGTTTTTTTTAAAATTTTTGGTTAAATCTGGTCAAACTACTTATTCAAGAAGTATTAATGTTACTACATAATTATTCAAGAATATTAGTGTTACTAAATAATTATTTCAATTTTTTGAATTTTTGTCAAATCTGGTCAAACTATGGTCAAACTTATTCAAGATATATTAGCGTTACTAAATAATTACTGTTTTTTAAATAATAGTTTCAAACTCAAACGGTGAAATGTGTGACTTCATGCTCAAGCTAAACTCCTGAGGGTTAATAGGATTGACATCCTACTATTGTCAGGAAAACAACAAGTGCAGACTCGGAAACGAAGGAGAATAGAACCCGAAAGTTAAGCGTGCTTGGGCTAGAGTAGTGAGAGGGATGGGTGACCGGTTGGGAAGTTAGATGATTTGGAATGAATGATCTACACTTGAGCAGTTAAGAGAGGTGATTAAAGAATAAATCATCAAATAATTCAGAAAAATTTAAAATCGAAAAAAAATTGAAAAAAAAACCTTTAGTACCGGTTGGTAACACCAACCGGTACTAAAGGTCCCCCATACCAGGGCGCGAGCTCACGCCACGTGGTGGCACTTTAGCGCCGGTTCGTGCTGAACCGGTACTAAAGGGGGGGGCCTTTAGTGCCCACACTTTAGTGCCGGTTATGGAACCGGCACTAAAGGCCCTTACGAACCGGCGCTAAAACTCCGTTTTCTACTAGTGTAGACCTTTAGAACCGGGACAGATGGGCCTCCACGTGGCCGGTGCGCCGAGCCCAGGCAGGAGGGCCTTTGGTCCCGGTTGGTGGCACTAAGCGGGACCAAAAGGCATCAACGCGTCAGCATTTCAAGGGTTGGGTTTTTTGTTTTTTTTGAAAGGGGGGAGGGGGGTTCGATGTTTTGGGGGGTTAATTTAGGTGTTTCATATATTGTATTAGCTAGCTAATTAATAGAGAGAAGTGTCATCTCTTATGTCCGTGCTTGGTCGATGCTACGTACTATACATAGAGAGGCCCTCGACACGCTAGCTAGTAAGAAAATGAAGGAAACCATTAAGTACAGAAGTTCGTCATGCATATCGAGAGAAGTGATCGATCGACCTCTCCTTCTCCGAGAGATTGGTCGAACAACAAGTTTTCGTATTATCTATCCGATGCTACTGGCTACATACATATACAATATGTAAGATCTCTTACAATCCCCTAGCAATTGAAATCAACTTCCACATGGTATTCTCCGGCTTTATTGATGACGTGGCCAAGAAAGAATCCCGCCAATTCCTCTTGAATTGCTTTCATGCGATCTTGTGGTAGGAGTTCATTCTGCATCTGCCACGTCTAATTTGAAGAAGGGGGTTAATACATATATATGAATGAAACTCAACAGAAATGATGGTGTAATAAAATGAAATTGTGAATATTATTGCATACGCACTTCATATTGTCTTTTAGAGTAGCCCCGCTTATTTTTCTTAGTCGCATTGTAGATGAACTCGCACACGTAGTATCCACAGTAATCATTCCCTTGTTCCTGCCACAAGCACTTTACGAGAAATAGAGGTCAATCAAACTGATAATGAAGCATTATAAATGGCATTGATAAAAGATAGCTATAGAATCAACGGGAGATGCGCGCAACTAGCTAGCTAGTAGTACTTACTTTCGGGTATGTATATCGCAACTCCTTCGGCAGTCCCGGAGCTTCTGCCGTGAACTGTTTCCAAACCCTGCAAGACAAAGAAAATAATTATTATTACTTGAGATATCAGGAAATGAACAAAAAGTTGCCGATATGGTGCGATAATGATCGATTGAACTTACTTGTTGAGCATTTTAGTCATGTCCGCAAAGGTTTCGGGATCTTTTCGTCTCGAGTCTAAGACGGTTACTAGTCCCCGCTCAAGCTTAGTCTTCAGAAGAACATACTGGAAGCTGCGCACGCATGCATAACTCATCAATTACATTACTATAACCTCACTCGAGTAATAAGGGAAATCGAATATGCACACGATAGTAACACTCACTCGAAGTTGTAAGGAAAGAGTATTAAATCTTTGTTTTGATTTTTGATCAACGATTGTAGCAAGTTGGCCTCGGCCTCTTCGGCGTTCTTTGTAACCAGAAATTCATCTATGATATTTGTGTTAATGAACCCAATATCATACATTTCTTGTTTTCTGCACTCGACGATCTTCAATATGCATAATATAGTGAGGATAATTAATTATAAATACATGCAATGAAAGAGCTAAGCTATATATAGAGACTTAATGACAGAAATAGTACTTACAGTCAGTAGCAAAAGACCGTTAATTTATCGAGGGCCTTTTGATTGAAGAACTCGAAGAACTCCTCAAATGGAACAGGCAACAGATCATTTCCAACGAGGTCGTGCTCCTCTTTAATTCTCAGATACAAAGTATTCATCCCCCCAGACTCTCTGCAGGTTTTCATGTACCAATTATGGAATCTTCGCATCATCGTTGTTAGAGATTTTTCATCTTTGACGAGAGGCTTCCCGTACTCATATCTGTGTTCGTCCATCTCCATGAAATCAAAATTTACATCGTCAGGCAGGTAATCTCTAAGATTGCTATAATCGGGCACCATCCCCAGAGCATTAGCGACGATGTCGCTAGACACATTGAGCGGGGGGCACGATTTATTTGCTTATTCGCCGAGCTGGGCAATTTTTTTTGCAGCTGCTCGTTCTTTTGACCTTTGATGTCTGACAGTACTTCCCGACCGCTCCGCTTCGAGATATGCCTTTTCAATAATGCGCTCATAGTTGGTTTTTGGTGGAGACTTTGGTGCTTTCCTCAGGGCATCGATAGTGCGCTTTTCTTTCACCGGATTTACCTTCTCCTTCGGAGGTGGATGTCTCTTTGCTTTCAACCCTTCAAAGAAGTCCTCCACTTTGGTCCGCACGATCTTCGCGTTTTCCTCCTCGGTCCTCTCGTACGGTAACTTCTCTAGAGGCTTGAGAGGTGGACCTTATCTGTATTGCCTCCCGCCTCTGGCTGTACTGCTAGACGCTAGAGCAGACGGAGCGGCTGCGGCGTCTGTATTCTTTCGTGCTTGCTTACGAGGCAGAGGAGAAGGACTACGACGCGCGGGAGCAACCGGGGCGGCGGCAGGTCTCTTCCACCCTTGCTGGTGAGGCAGAGAAGGAGGAGGCTGCTGGCTGCT